TTCTTTCAATAGATCATTCTTTTTTTCTGAAAATTCCTCAGAATAAGTTTTTTCTATACTGAAAGATTATTCTATAGGAAGAATCACACATATAGCATATCGTTCTCTCTCTCTCAAGCGTATTTAACGAGTGGCGCATAAATAACCGGACTGTTCTGTTTTGCCTATAACTCCGTCAGTTCCAATCTTATCGGTCCAATTTTTTCTCCAAAAGATTCCCCATTCAATTCTCTACAAAACAATTTACTCGTTTTTTTCAGTCTTCTATGAAAACATTTTTTAGCATGAATATTAAAGACTTCCAAAAATGAGTACTTTCCAAGCATCAAAATGGAGCTAAAACCTGCAATATATTTTGGGATTTGAAAGGTGCCATTAGTCAAACTCAAGTTTTTCAATGGTGCAAAATAATCGCCGAGACCGGCTCTATTGAACTGTCAACGTCTCCAGGTCGACCTCGTATTATTCGAACAAAAAATATGATTCAAAGAGTTAAAACTCGTTTAAAGTGTAAGAAACGAGTCTCAATTCGAAACATGGCCAGCGAACTTATAATTTCAAGACGCAGCGTGCAGAGGATTTTGAAAAATGATTGAGGATTAACGTCGTACAAGAAAAGAATCGAACCACTACTCACAAATCTTCAAAAAGTTAAAAGAATCACATTTTCAAATTGGGTTCGTCACAATTTTTCGAAAGAACAATCTTTGATAATTCTTTTTTCAGACGAGAAAATGTTTGATCTCAATGGTAAGTGCAACTGTCAAAACGATCAAGTCTGGGTTGTGAATCGTGCCGAAGCGGATAAGAATGGCGGCGTTAAACAAGAAAGAGAGATCTCCACAAAGAGTCATGTTTTGGTTACGAGTTTGTTCAGAAGGCATAACTCCTTTGATTATTTTGGATAATGACACGGTAAATCATCAACAATATATCGATGAAGTACTTTCTGTGGCTCTGAAGTATGGAAATAACGTGTTTGGAGATGATTTGACTTTCCAGCAAGCCGGTGTCAAGCCTCATACTCACAAACTCTCTCAAAAATGGTGCCCCGACCTTTTTCGTGGACTTATTGACAAAGATCATTGGTCACCGAATTCTCCGTACTTGAACCCTTTAAACTACTCTATTTGGGACGAATTTGTTCACGAAGTCAACTGGAACAAAGCTCAGTCAAAACAAAAAAAACGTTAATTGCAGAGTTGAAGCGAGCTGTGAAACGAATTAGAAAAGAAGTTGTACTGGAAAGTTGTGAGAGTTGGACCAACCCAGGTCACTCAATCCTTGCTTCGGGTTCCGGTTCGGATTTGATCTGAATCCGATAAAATCCGACAAGATCTCATCGAATTTAACCAGTATTTGATCGAAATCCGGTGATATCCTGGAGTCGATTTCCCGGAGCAAGGATTCCGGCAATTATCGACAAGAGCCGATTGGAATTTTATGAATCCGATAGGATCCTGGTGATCATGAGTGCTTTGGGAAGAGATTGTATCGTTTAAAAGAAAAAACGGAGATTATTTACATTAATAAAAGAACACTTTTTTTGAAAGAGAACTGAATGGGGAATCTTCTGGAAAAATATTTGGATTGATAGAGTGATAGCCGGCGGAGTTATAGGCAAAACAAAAAAGTCCGATTCGTTATGCGCCACCCCTTAAATTCTATATTTTTGTAGAAAATCAAACTTAAATAATTAAATCTAGTTAACCCAAGTAGACATTAAAAAGTCATTCAATCAGAGTTTCAAGTGATGAACTCGTACTATTTTTTCTTTTGTGAAAAATATGTAAGACTGATGTTTGCGAATTAGAACGTATCTAATATTAAGCGATCAAAAAAACTTGTTAGTTTTGTATCCGCAGACACATAATATACACTGTAGTTTGTGTTTTTATCATCACGTTATTTTCTCTGTCAGAAGTAAGAATTCAACACAGCAGCTGTGATTTTTTCTTTCGGTACAGTAAGTTTACTAGTGGACAAATGATTTCGAAAAGACCTTTAGAATGTATTTTTTATCGAAGTACTTTTTGTTTTTCGTACAACATAAAAATCGGAATGGTGGAGGGTCGTGAGACATGATTCGATCTCATCACTGTTTTCTTGAAAATATAAAACTAATTTTCATATAGATAGTGTCATTCAATTTCTTTTTATTGTTGCTTGTAACAGTTATTCGATTGTTGGTATATAGAATCTAATCTAGTCACTTATTTGATTTTTGACACAAATCCAGGTGTGCATTTTTTCCCGACTACACTCCATAGAAATTTTCATGAAGCACCTTTTACTAATTGCATTACGCATCGACAGATAAAGATTAGAAAGGCGATATTTTTAGCTAAACTAATGTAATTTTTTGTCTGGCGTTGAAAGCGCTGAGTTTTCTGTCATTAAAAGATAGAAAAAATGAATTTTTCTAAATTAATTATTATGAGCCTAACAAAATACTGCTTTTGACATCGACTCAAAAAATAGTTTTTTTTCACAATCTGAATGTTAATATTTATTAATTTATTTAAGACTGAATAAAAATGAATTGGCGATCATTTAAGCGATCAGTAAAATAATTGAATGATCAGTACATTATTTATGTGGTTAGGTATTAATATACTTCGATTTCTTGATATATTATTTAAAAATCAGTAAATTAGATTAAAGGATCAGTATAAAAATTGAAATGTGTTATAAAGTGATTTACTTTTTTTCATGTTTTTTCTTTTGGTCTCTATATATCATACAGATGATAAGTACAACATATATAAATGTACTCGCTTAGCTCCTTTCTTTCACATTCAGCTTCGTAGCAACGAGTAAAAAAGATGGAAGTCGTACAAGTTGCTCAACATGAAAGTAATATATCAGACAAAGAGTTTCTGGAAGGAAATGATGGAATAAATGGAAATGAAAGAATTCCAAAAAATGGTGTGAGGGCAGTGTAGATGAGCAGAAGAATCACACCCACATCACATATTTTCCGTACTGTGTGACTGGAGTAAGTCGTTGAAATACGAGTTGGGAACCGAGCTGTATACGGTCACCGACACGGCCGATTGCTTCCTAGCCAAGGAATTGACGGCAAGTAGTTTGAAAACATCGGTAGGAACTTGTCTGGAATTCTGACGGAACAAAATCCATTGGAAATCCGCTCATGTATGATCGGTTCCTTCTTTGGCCGGCTATTGGGATCCCAAACGGAATGGGTCGAATTTTTTCCTGAAGTTTTCACCTAGTTTCTGATCGGATATGAGTGAAAAGAGGTCGGGAGAATCCGGCAAAAGTCGTCTCAGAATACTGCTTCCATGAAATCGCAGGAAAACTCCGGAACCTAGCATTCCCATTCCGGTTTGTTCGACCTGGATCTTGATGAATTTCACATTTATTTAGTCTTCAGATACTTAAAAATTTGAATTCAATAAGAATACTGTCGATTCTAGCCTTAACAATATGTGGAATTTTTAAAGATACAAGAGGAATCCGATCACAGTGATTCTTATTTCAGATTAAAAATATTTTCAAGATGACGAAAAGTTGTGAGTGTGACCGTTTTCTGTATTCACATAGCATATACTTAGTAATTTAGATATGGTTATAACTGCTAGAAGATGAGAAAGTTCATCTATGATTCATGCTGATCTATCAACATGCTCGATTTAGGTCAATACCGATGTTGGTCTTGAGAAAACCCTACCGGTTGCATTACTGCTGCAGACAACTGGAAACGAAATAATGCGCTTATGGAGTCCATCGACTACCAGAAGATTTCCGGCTTGATCGAATCGCATACTGTAACCAATGAAAGACGCGGGTATGGATATAACAGTGGATCCATCTATGGAGCCGGGTGGCCATTTTTGAATTCTCGTATTCCTCGTGTCTAAAATAAACAAATTGTTATATTGATCGACCAGGACAGCTGTCGGGTTCCAAAGTTGACGAGAACTAGAACCATTAACACCTGATTGTCCAGCCACAGTCCAACCCGATGAGGCATCTTGTAATTCAAGCAAAATATGAATTCAATATGAGTAATAGAAAATCTTACCTCGTGTCCATTTTTGAATTCTATGATTGTTGTAGTCAGCGATGTAGATCGTACCGTTGGTGGTTACATGAATACCACGAGGGCAGTTAAGTTGGTTCGATGCAGTACCATTACCATTGCCGCCGGCTACCTGAATTGCATGAAGAAGAAATGGGAGAGAAATCAGTGAGGAGTGAGCTCTACATACGAGTCTGCCAATGGTTTTGTTGTTGTTCATCCAAAGAGTCACGCGATGGTTTTCGTATTCTGATACGTAAACATTGTATTGATCATCAACATACAATCCATAGCTCACTGAGATCTTGTCAAGTGTCACACCAGAACCATCGCCACCAGCAACTGTGAATCCAAGCGGTTCGTCGTACTTCCATTTTTGTACTCGGGAATTATTAGAGTCGGCGATGAACAGAGTATAATTGCGAGTGAGAAAAAGAGCCGTTGGGAAAGCAAGTTCGCTTTTTCCTTTACCACCGCTACCCATACCAGCAACAATTTCTCCACTCGTCGATCCTTAGATAAAGTAACCTGCAAAACGTTTCTTTGTTATACGAGACTCTTACCGGTTGCAAATCGAATAACACGATTATTTGAACCATCTGCGACATAAATATTATCATTAACATCAATAATAAAATCGTATGGATCGAAAAGCAGTGATATTGCAGAGTGATTGCCCTCGGATGTATTAACCAGTACTCTGGAGGTATTACTCCATCTAGCATCTGCACATGGTACATTTGGCAACTGATCTAGTTAATAAAAAGAAACTGAAATTGAAATGAAGAACTGTGCGTTTGTACTCACTTGGAGACAATTCAGTTGTTATTGTGGTTGCGGCTATAAAAGAGAAAATGTACCTAGCTGTAAGAATTAAACTGTAGTTTTGATTCTCAGCGATAACTTATAGGTAGTCACATGCTCATAGCTCACTGACAAAACGTGTCTCCTAATCATATGAAGCGAGAAAAGTCTTCATGTGAAGAAGTGGCTAGGATACAGTCAATTTTATAACTTTGTCAAGTTAACTTTTTACTATTTTTGAAAACGAGGCAATGTTATACGCACAGCAATTCACACGAAACGACACCACTTGATTATTCAAATGATCAGCAACGACCAGATTACTATCTGTGTCGAAGTTCATTCCTATTGGGCCATTCAATTCCCATGATTGGGCCACTGTGACTCCGTAGGTCGATCCTATTCTCCATCTCTGAATTCTTTTATTGCCAGAGTCCATCACAAATATGCTATTGAATTCATCGAAAATGACAGACGTTGGTCTAGATAACTGATACGACCACGAACCGGCTACAGCAGTCTCACCAGCAATCGTAATACCGAATTTTGCATCTAAATACTGTCGTGAAAAATGCATTAAAAACATAGTAGTCTTACTTGGTAGCCACTTTGAGATTATATGATTTCCATACTCGGCGATGTATAAGGTTCCGTTTTGGTCCACGTAGATACCATAGGGTAAGCTCAGCTGATTGTCCGCATTGCCATTACCGTTACCTCCTGCCACCTGTCAGAAATGAAAACAAGATAAAACATGATGATCATTATCATCATCGAACAGAACTGACCAATCGACCACCTGTTGTGTTTCCGGCATTCCAGAGAACAACACGATGATTCCCATAATCTGAGACGTATATATTATATTCATTGTGGATATAGATTCCGTAACTTATGGATATCTGACTGAGAGCACTTCCTGGCCCATTACCACCGGCCACGGTGGATCCTGACGGCTCTCCTATTCGCCATTTCTGAATCCGTTGATTTCCATTGTCTACAATGTACATGAAGCTACTGGGTGTGACAAATATGGCTGTAGGACTTTTGAGCTGAGTTACTGATATTCCACCATTGCTGGTAATTCCAGCTACAGTAGTACCCAAATTAGAACCTAAAGTCGGAAAATGTAGGCTCTCGACATTTACTCGTGAGTGTAACGCACCTGCAATGAATCTCTGAATTCGATGACTTGATTGGTCAACCACATACATGCTGTTTAGACTGTCGAAAAACACATGGACTGGATTAGAGAGTAATGTCGATGCGGAGCCTCTGATTCCGGTCCCTGCTACTGCAAGAAAACTTGAATTCCAAACTGCTGTTGGGCACACTTGAATAGTTGATTGTGCTATTGAAGAAATTACTACCGATAAGCAATATACCCGGTTTAATCTGAAAATCTAGGACATTACTTGAAGATGCTTGGGTTGTTGCTGCATTTGGCACTGTAAACGACAAACAGTCGAATTAAAAGCAAGTTAATATAGAATTTAGAGGGGATTCTAGTTGAAATAAATTGTCTTTATTTTGGAAACAAAGTGGATAGATATCGACATTGTGCTTCATTTAATACGGCATTTTGTAACATTTGAATTCATTCAAACATCAGCATTTCGAAGTAGATCCTCAATCATTTCTAACTACGAATCGAAAAAGTATTAGTCAGATTTTTTTAATGCTTTGCATAAAACTCTCTGCTCTGCAAAGCGGCTATGACTATGCATGCAAAAAATCCAAATTCAAACCAGAACCGTTTGGGAATTTGAATTTGGATACTGATTTTAGGTTTTGCTTTGTCATATGAACCAGAGATGCCGAAAAAATCACTTTTCCCAACCCGAGGGTTGACCTTACGGTAGCTGATAGAGAAAACCGATGGGTTTCAACCCAATTTTTATTTCTATTTCAGCGAATGGGTCATTGGGTTGGGTTGAGCCCTTCAACCCAACCCGCCGGGTAACCCATTGGGCTAACCCTGGTTATAATTGTAACGATTTTAGATAGAAGAGAAGCCTGTGTTGATGGTATTACACTTTATTTCACTCTTCAAATCATAAAACCGCTCCGATTCCATATAAAACACACGCTTAAATACTCAACCATTTGAGAGAACGAAGGAGAATGAGAGATAACGACAAATATCAAGGACAGAAAGATAAAGGCAATATATGTGATGAGAAGAAATGGCACCTTAAGGTCAAATACCATGCACAGACCACACTCGAACGGGAGCGTTACACTTCCACGTGGAATTTAGACACTCTCCGCATTTATCGTTACAATAATGCATTTCAATTCTCTGCTATGTGTAAAAATTGTACACTGCTGATAGAGGTCTATGGCTATCAACAGATTTCTATTACATTTGTGAACGAAATCATTTTCATTGTTGAGCGAGTAAATTCACCAATAAAGATAAACTGAAGAGTTATTATTATTATTCATTTGTATGTAATATAATATAAAATTAATCGAATCTAAAATTTTATTTAGAAGTAGTGTCATTAAACAAAATGGTACTGATCCGAAATCGATATCTATATAGTGATGTATTTCTCTAATATATTGAAAACAACAGTGATGACTTCCAAAAGTTTTAGTTTTTTAAGTCAATATAAAACTAAAATAAAAACTAATAGTTCAACAGGGCTGGTCAGAGGCAGCAAACATTGGGGTTTGTGTCGGATTTTTCTAATAAGAGTACCAATTTTTCTAACAGAACGCAAGAAAAAATTTTCGGCTGCACTGAAAAAAACAAAAGTTTTCGATTATTGGGGGTTGTCATAACCCCCGAGACAGGCCAGCCCTGGAGCTCAACCAGCATGATGTACTAATGTAAAATTATGATAAAAATCGCTCGAGATGTATTCTGAACAACAGCAATCGAAGAATATATAAGGCAAAAAAGGACCTAGTAAAGAAGATAGTGAAATCTGCCTCTATAGTAGAAGGACAACAAGAGACATGAAATAGAGAAGGGAAGAAGAAAATACATGATTACAAAAAAGAGATATAAAGCAGTGATCATAAGAGGATAAAATCCGATTATTGTCTGTTACGTTTGACTATGCAATTAAATCAATTATAAATATGGAATAGATGATTCATACCCTATGTTGTGTTATAAATAAATCTGCATAGAAAATCCCTTTTGTGAATGATTTTACAATATACGTTATTCATGGGTTAATCCTAAGGTAACCCGAGGATTGGCCGATTGGATTCATACGTTAAGCTTGACCGATGGGTTAGGGTTGACCCATGGGTCACCCAACCCGGTGGGTAGCGGTGACGATCGAACCAATCTGGCATCTCTGATATGAACTCTTCAAACCAACTGAGTTTGGACGGGGTAAGATGTTTGTCAAGTTTTTATTATATATTAAAGATAATTTTTTATGCAAATATGAGCAAACGGTTTGGTTGATCAAAAATTAAAGCAACATTGCTGAGTCGCACAAGAGGGATTGTGGGCTTCTCTCACATTGGTCTTTGTGTTCTCAGGTCCAGAAGTTCAGACTCTATCTTTTACGAAACTATAATGGTGAGCCATGAAGCAATAGTAATGGATTTTCTTCAAAAGGTCCCATTAAAGGTGATCCGAGGTAGACTATAGAAACGTAAACTCCGTTTACCTATAAGGGCATGGATGAATTATTCAATGGATGGATCTAAACTCATAAAACTGCATCCTCAACTCCACCCATCCACACCTGAACACGATTGTGTGAAGAATGGAAATAATTATAAAAGCTTCTCAAGCACGTCTCGATACGTTTTGTGTAATGGCCACGTTCAAACACGACGGAGTGTTTGTTTAATCGCATCCAGATATTGTTTAATTTTTAATTGTAAAAGGACACAAGAAGTGTTTCAGCTGAGTTGCGTCCGGATGCGGCTTACTCTTTGAATTTTAGACTCATTTATATCGCAAAAAATATTTCCATTTCCATTGTTTCGGAAAACCTGCTGGTAGGTAATAATGAGGCAGAAAAGAAGTAAAGATTTAGAAAAACTTTTACCTAGCCAAGAAGTATTTCAAATACAGTATGAAATTTCTGACAAGTATTTAAATCTTTTCTCATCAGCTCAACAATCGGATCAAAATGCTAATACTCTTACACCTACAGATACTGACTCCGTGGATGATGTTTTCTACACGATTACCTTTTGAATATTCCGGATGAATACCATAGATGATGAAGAGCCTGATGTCATCACACCAGTAATCTATATTATTGTTGCGATTAGCGAGCACGCTAAACTCGATTTGTACTTCGAGTCCGCTCATGTCATTCTTCAAAGGTAAGCTGATATTGTCCTCAGTTGAACCTGTATACAAAAAATGTACTAAAGCCACTGCTAACATACTAAAACTTACTCAGCTTTCCCACAGTCCAAACTGGCCCAATGCTACTGATCACTCTCAGTTGAATCGATACACCGATGCTCATACTTGCACTTAATACGACATGGGAGTTCGGCCAAAATGTCAAGCTCCACTTGTTTGATAGGTTGACTCGCTGAGATATAGTAGCCCTAGTACGATTTGGTTTTAAGGTGAATTTGCAGTTATAATTATCCTTGTCAGACGATACCGTGAATACATCGTCATTTTTTAATGTCCAACTTAGCGTAAGATTAATATTACAATCAGCTTGGCCATTCTCAATCAAGTTCATATCATGGGCAAGTGTTCCATTAGGTAGCGTAGCATCTTGAATAGAGAGAGCACTTTCGAATTGACTTTCTGTAATATTAGCACCAGTAAAATTTGCCTTATAGAAGTTGGCATCGGAAAAATCGATGTAGCTCAATGAACTTCTCACAAACGAAGCATGTTTAGCATCTGAGTACGAAAAGTTAGAATAAGATAAAGTAGCCCCAATGAAATGAACCGTAGAAAAAGTTGTTTGTCGAAAATCCGTGTAATATATATTCGCACACAAGAAGTCAGTTGATGCTAAACCATGATCGAAAAAATTAATTTCTTGAAAACAAACGAAAAACTAGGGTGATAATTACCTAAAAAAGCAGATGAAAAATCAGCATATCCGATTTCGGCAGACGAAAAGTTAACTCGATGGAACTTGCTGGACACTAATATGGCGTTGGCAAGCAGCGCAGATGAAAATCCAACATCAGTGAGTAGAGCATCTGAAAAGTTTACATGATCTAGATGTGCCGAGGGAAATTGTGTTGTGCCGAGTTGCGCTAATGACATATCAGTATTCAAGATAGAAGCTTGTGAAAAGCGAACACCAGAGAGTGTAGCATTTAAAAACTTGCCATCTTCAAGTCGTGCAAATGAGAATTCAATATTCGACAACTTTGAGAAAGAAAAGTTTGCATGATCGAGATGCGTCGATAAAAATTGTATTGCTTCGAGGTGAGCTAATGATAGGTCAGCATTGAAGAGAGATGCCTTGGAAAAACTAACATTATAGAGTGTAGAATTTAAAAATTTGACACCGTCCAGTTGAGAAACTGAGAAGTCGATATCGAGTAGTATAGAGACGGAAAAGTTGCAATTGAAGAGCGAGGAGTTCGTAAAGTTGACACGTTTTAGTTTGGTGAATGAAAAATCGACATTCTTGAGCGTTGCATTTGTAAAGTCGATATTGTTGAGTGTTGTATTTGTAAAGTCGATATTGTTGAGTGTTGCATTTGTAAAGTCGATATTGTTGAGTGTAGTGGATGACAAATTAACATTGACGAGCTTGGTCGACGAAAAATTAAGATTATCTAGTGTAGTGTTTGAGAAATTGATATTTTCAAGTATTGCAAACTCAAAGCTGCTATTATTGATGATTACTTGCACAAAATCGATATTTTTGAGTTTGGTGAAGCAAAAGTTGATGTTCTCCAATTTGGCCGATGTTAAATTAACGATGTTGAGTTGACTACATGAAAAATTAGTATTTTTCAATCGACTATCTAAAAATATAGTATTGCGCATGTGAGTAGATGAAAAGTTAATCACATCAAATACGGTATGGGAGAAGTTATCGTGCTCCATATCAATGCCTATAAATGTGGCGTTCGATACAAAGAGACCAGTCAATGATAAGTTATTTAATTTCTTTTTATTAATGGCTGATTCCCGAAAATCCATGTGACACAATTCTGCCGTTGAGAGATCTAATGAGTCATTCTCCTGCGACTTATCAAGTTGTTTGGCTTCGTAGAGAAATCTAATAATCTGAATATTACGTTTTGCGTCTAGTTGCCGAAATATATTCAGGGTTTTTACTCGAGCAACAGTAGCTGTAACTTCATTTTTTGTAAGGGAGCCATCGTTCTCATTCAATGATTTAGCCATCTCTTTAATATAATTATTGAGAACTTCGTTTTGATATCTTTCGTCATTCAAGTTTTTTTCTTGTACACGTTGTAGTTCGGATAAGTTGCGATCTTGCTCACGCTGTCGGTCAGCTGAAACGCGATCTTGTTCACGTTGTTGTTTAGCTAATTGCTGTTGCTGCATTGTGATGACAAGAGTGAAGACACCAAGTACGAGCGGCAGTAGTAATGAGGATATAAACTTGAGACTATCCTTCAGTCTCAAACCAAATAATTTACGAGGTAGAAGATCCGCTTGATCCGTCTGTGTACTTTTCTCTAAAGACAGCATTCTGTCTTCTTTGCTTGGTGCGTACAAATAAATGAACAAACGATTACAATTAACGATATTGCTCGATAAAGTCCAATCTCTTTACTGTTAATATATGAAAGTATGCATAGAGTGTTTTTTACTGCTATGAAATACGAGACAAGCTCAGTTTCAACTCGATGAAAATCACGCTCCTGCGCTATTTAATTTGTTCCGTTTATCAACGCATTATGTGACCAACAGAACGTGATAAAGTAATTCAAACGTGCTTCTCTTATGCATGTTACATGTAAATGTCTATTAACAAAAATCTGCTTAACGTGCACCATCAACGAGAAAAGCAATGCCTATGAGGGTAAAGAAGCAGACACCCTCCCTAATTATCATCGCGATCTTGATCAATTTCTCATCGTAGGATACGAATGAGATATTTGGTTTTATCCCGTAACAACTTTTGCAGAGTTAAAAAGAAATATTGTCAACCAATACTGAATGAGGTTTCTGGCAAAGTAATTAAACCATTTTTGAAGTATAATTTATTCTTCAAAGGAAAGTTTAGGGTGGGCCAGCATAGGGTGTGCGTGTGGGTGTGGGTATCGACATAATGTCTTTGTAGGCCCACACACATGCGACGATTTCTGACAGAAGAAGTGCTTGCATTGATGGAACTCTTCTTTGTTTCATTTCTTCATATCATGAATCGTACCGATTACACAAAAAACACACATTTAAATACTAAATCATCCGAGAGAACGAAAACTGATGACAGTTAAGGACAAACGCTAAGGACATCAAAATAAATACCAAACATAGAGAAAGGACTAAATAATAGTCACGCTTAACTGTGAGCATTACAATACCCATGCCCATCATATTTTTATATGCATTTCTTTTATTTTAATTCTCTTGGAAATTCTAATTTTAACATCAGATAGTGCACGTCGAGTTCTAGTCGATATATCAAATTTAACATGTGACACAATTCATGGAGCAAATCATTCCTCAAAATACCTTAAACATATCGCCAACACATCGTACATTATTAACTGTATTTAAATAATGGCACGGATTCTTGAAATATATGCCTTATTGAAATGACGATAACTAACGTACATTGCCTTATGTTCGGTTAAGTATTTCCGCAAATTCTGTTTGAGGTATTTGTTGTTGACTTTCATAAGTTGCAATTCATTTAAAAAGACGTGCCGTCGAATCTTTCCATGAGCCCATTACATTCGAGATGATAAGTTTTTCGATTAAAGAATTAATTTAATAAAATTCAAATTCATCATATCCAAATTTTTAATCAGCCGTTTAATGAGTTCCTTTTTTGTTAGCTGGTCTTATTCTTGAATTGTTGGAATTTAGTGAGCGTACATAAGTATAATCATTTGGTGTGCCAATTTGAATTTGTTTCGCCCGGAAATGCTATTAGTTTTTGCTGAAACATAATTTGAAAAAAAAACAGGAACGATACATTTAGTACTGTGCAAACAAACGGTGGATGCAAAGCAAAAAAGGTTTATAACAGTATAGAAAAGAAGAAAGATACAGCTGTAACGATACGAAATGTTTTATCGTGATACCGAACCGGTTTATTTTTTTTTTGGTTTATGCACTATATTTATTCGTGACATCCATTTATATATCTTTTTTGTGACTTTTGTGGACGCTTACGGAAACAATAGTCAACAGACAAGACTACACGATAACAGACAAGACTACACGATAACAAACAGAGAAAGGATGACAAGGAAGAGAANAGATCATGCTTAGCGTTTGGTTGGGAGCAAAAGGAATTATTCATTGGGAACTTCTGCCAACTGGCTGTACCATCACTGCTGATCTCTACTGCAAACAATTGGACCGGCTTGCAGCAAAACTTCAGGAGAAGCAGGACAAAATTTATTTTTTGCACGACAACGCCAAACCTCATATCGCAAAGTCGACTCGGTAAAAATTATTGAAGCTCGGATGGATTACTGTTCCACATTCACCTTATTCTCCAGTAGGACCCATGTAAATATTTTTTGAATAGAAACGCGTCTGATTCGCGTTTCATTTGCGTCTAAATCGCAGCAATCGAATGCGGCTAGACGCAGCCTAGGTGAAACATTTCTTGCGTCTTGTCGCGATTTAAGAAAGATCTTGGTCAGATGCGGTTCGACATAAAATCGCGTCTAGACGCAAGAAATGTTTCACTGGAGACGCGGTTCCAAACTAGTCGCGTCTAGATGCGTGCGACGCGATATTTTTTTTAATTAAAAAATAATTGCAATCCGTCTCAGGTTTGATCTGAGTCGCCAACGATAGCCTCTACCGATGATCTGCAACTAACATAGCCAAACGGAATGCTGAATTTTTGATATATCTGAAATGATAGAAATGAGATTAGAACAAGTGAACTTGTGATTGCGAAGCAAGTATACATACCGTGAAGCCACATGTGACCACAATCGTTGTCGAATGAAACTGAAAATATATGTGAATCGTGGTTCAATGTCTTATTTACAAGTGAATGTCTCAATAAATGTTCTCATTCAGATAGTATATGAATTTTTCTAGCGCATATATATGTGATCATTTGAGAAAATATGTATCATAAAAGAAACCGAGTATTCAATTTGCTTTTGTAAATTTCTTCAATTTTTTTCTTTTGAAAAAATGTTTCTGCATATTTTTTTAATTATACATGGTTCTTCACCTTATGGTATAGATTTTTCATAAATTATTATTGATCTATTACAGTTCATAAAAAATTTAATTTATTCTTTCTTTTTGTTTTTCCTTGTCGAACAAAAAGATTTATGAAAAAAAACATTTTAGTTATGATTGCCAAAAATCAAAACGTTGATTGAGATATTTCTAAAGCTTCGATAAACTTATTTAAGGCTGGCGAAAAATTAAAAATAGAATCATATTTTATTTGAATGAAATCTTTCGATTTTGAAATTTTGGAAGCTATTTAGGTTTGTTCAATTAATGGGGATATTGAATTAATACAATAACACTACATTGGAAAATATCAAACAAATAAGTTGAAACACCAATGTCGTATATAACGCTGATAAAGAAAAAGAGTAAATCAATACTCTTAAAATTTACTATATCCTCTAGGAAAAAATAATCAATAGAAAGTATAAGGTCGAGTTCCGTAGTCGCAATAGATTGATATTCACTTGTGTAGTCTGAAAACAAATGTGAAGATATAGAGCTTCTCAAAAGATATTGAGCATTTTACCATAGATGCTTTTTTTACTTGCATATTAAGCAAGTAGATCTCTGGACTAATAATTTCTTCATATTTCCGTGCTAAATTGTGATACTAAAACGGTACATGACTTACTGTGATTCTCCAGAACCAATTTTCTCTCTAAATTCTATGTCAGATACCTAGAATAAATTTTGAAAGTCATGGGAAGATGAAATTTCAATAACAAAAACATCCAGATGCGGCAGACGTTCTATTAAAACTGCGTGAAAACGCATTTCAAGGAAAATCACACGCAACTAGGCTTCTTTAATTATTTTCTAACCGCATCTGCACGCGATTTACTTATAACTGCGTCTGACCGCACTTCTAGGTTTTATGTAACTGTACGAATGTATGCGTTTTCATATAAAGTCGCATCCAGACGCGATTGGAAATGATTTTCAGTTGCATTTGCATGCGTTTTCAAATAAAATCACATCGAGTCGCGACTTGAATTCATTTATTACCGCGTCTATATGCGTTTTCATATAAAATCCCATCTAGACGCGATTTGAAATTATTTTAACCGCGCCCGTATGCGTTTCCATGCAAAATAGCGTCTACACGCGTTTGGTACTCATTTTTAGCCGCGTTCACATGCGGTTTATAAGAAAATCGCGCTGCGACGCCCGTATTTTGTGTTTCGTGTTTACATGGGTGGATATGTGAAGAACAAAAATAAAATGAATAATGATACGTAACTTTAAGTGGGCCGATTAAAGTGTTGACGCAGATCAATTGATTGAAAATAAGCCCATGTTCTTAACATTTTCTAAAGTTCCTCTTGTTTATCTAGAAAGATAAAACGATTACAAAAAAGGAGATCTTTTCATATACGAAAGGATCGCTGAAATGATTTTTTGAATATGAAAAATTCATACTTAACTTTCATTCGATAGTGAAAATAAATCGGCGCGAAGTGGTTGATTCAAAATGAGCACATGTTCGCACAAGTTCTGAGAACTACTCGTGCTTACCTAGATAAATAGAATGATTGAATGGAAATATATCACTTCATCAAGGAAAAAATCGTTCCGATAATTTACTCGATATGGCACAACAGGATGAAGTAAAAAAATGTAATTTACTTTGCAGTGGATNTCTTCATATTTCCGTGCTAAATTGTGATACTAAAACGGTACATGACTTACTGTGATTCTCCAGAACCAATTTTCTCTCTAAATTCTATGTCAGATACCTAGAATAAATTTTGAAAGTCATGGGCAGATGAAATTTCAATAACAAACGCGTCCAGATGCGGCAGACGTTCTATTAAAACTGCGTGAAAACGCGTTTCAAGGAAAATCACACGCAACTGCGCTTCTTTAATTATTTTCTAACCGCATCTGCACGCGTTTGGTATTCACTTTTAGCCGCGTCCACATGTGATTTATAAGAAAATCGCGCTTCGACGCACGTATTTCGCGTTTCGTTTTTACATGGGTCCTACTCAAAATTTTAGGAAAAGTGCGAAATTTATACGCTGATCAGATTTTTTTGTCATGTTCGCTGTGATTCTCTCTTTTTCTTTCTTTTTAATTTATATCCCAGACAAACTGAATACTCTACATGAAAATTGCGATCTTTTTTATTGAATTATGCTATTCAAAATATGCATATATATAATGTGAGGGTGTGGTTGTTCATCTTCTCTTAATTCACGTCCATACTAATTACTTCAGTTTATAGATGCCGTATTGGTCCGAACAACTGATGTTCACCATATTCGCAAATCAACCTAAAGAGTTTTCTACATATAATTTATTTTTCGAAACAAACACTCCTGCATTCCTTTTTTTTCTTCATTCTTTCGTTGAAAAATATTTTGCTTTTCAGCATTATGATAGATTATATTGAATAAATAAAAATAAAAATGATTTTTTACTTTGCTTCATTATCAATAAACTATAATAGAATTAATAAATGAAATCGTTCTAGAATGAAATGATTTTTTTTCATAGAATGAACAATGTTACATTTTCAGCACATAAACAGTAACATCGGAAGAAATAAAACGCTGATACTTTAGTCTAGTTTTAACGTTTCCATATTTATCTTCTTGAAATTTGAATAGACCCCCAACCTTCTATTTTTTAAACCATAAGCTCATGTTTGCTGAAATAAAAATAAAAATAAACAATAAACAATAAATAGAAGTTCAGTAAGAAGATAGCTTACAAAATTCTATTATATCTTCTTTTGTTTTTCGTTTGTATTTGATTATTGAACGCAGAAAATGCTTATCAATAATTTATCAGCAACTACTGCCATTACCCACTAAGCCTGTTAGTGTACAGGAAAAAACTAGATGATTCCTTTGTAGGTTGTGGATGTAGATCATTAGTATAGAAAGAGTAATACCCACACCTGTAATGGTTTTTACCGTTATGGTTAACTTCATTTACATTATCCTCTTCGCTATATCCGTATGTTTGTGTATTAATCTTATGAACCTCTCATTATTCTGCTGAGTGATCGTTCCCTCTATTTTCGCCACAACACACACACCGACCATTTTCAAGATAGAATTTATTTAAAGATTAAAAAATTTGTATTTTCGTACAATTTAAGATCATTCCAAACAAACGCCATTGAAACACAATCTTCATCAAATGTTCTTGTTTCTTTCGGTTCACCACCAAGTCTAGAGTAAAATTGATGTGCTTGCTTTGTAGCAACAGACCAAACAACGAAATTCTTTGGTTGAAAAAATAGAAGCACATCATTCCAAAGGACTTTCCATAATTCATAACCAATACCACGATGTTGATATTGTTTACCAATAAATATATTTTGTATTTCATAATCATACATTTCTTGTGCAACTACTTCATGAGATTTGACTACTCGTCCACCACGACACCAACCAACTATAGAACCATGATCAACTTCAGCTACATAAAATATGAATTGTGAACAGTTATTCAATTTCAGTGACCAATCTTCGACGCGTTGTTTCATTTCATCGTCTATAGTTGGAATTCCTAAACCGTCGTCCATTATTTGTAGCATCTGAGGTAAATCGTTTACAACAGCTTTTCGAATAATAATTTTTTCTAATTGTAGCATAGTGATTATTGAATAAATGTATGGAACACGTCACGTATTTATAGTCGAGACACGTGGCATTTTTCTAATATTCTATCTGTATCCACGTCCTCAACTATGTGTCATATCAATATCGTTGATGGCGCGTCATCAAAAAGAAACCATAAATAGATTCAATATCAACATTATTAGCATGAAAATGCTTTTGTATTTCAACAGCTGATAAGCTGTAATAATCATGTCGCTTATCGGCATGAACAATACAAATATTTTCAGTTCGATAGAGGATTACCTTTCGAAAACGTTTTTTGAATAATAGCACTCTTAAGAGAAAAGATAATACTAATATGAGAGGGATTCACAGTCCAAGATGTTTCATTGTACTTCATCTGGATGTATGAGTGTGATACATATGGTCTCTACAACATTACAAGTACTCATAGCCATAGCCACGCCCTCGCCAAGGGATAGATCGATTTATTTTTCAATAAAAAACTAATTAGCTGCTTTTTATCTGCTGATGAAAATGTAAGACGTAGCAATCAATCAATTGAAAGACAAACGAACAACATTTTTGTTTCTTAACGATGTTGCTGTTAACCATGTGCTTTCATTTTGTCGTAAGAAACATTGCTCGTTCACCTTGTTACACCAAAGCAGTCAAAAAATTTCAAAAAATGCGTTTAAACGCATAATAAGGGTAAAAACGCTATTTTTCTTACCATGTGGAACTAAGAGTGCAGAATAGGATTGCAAATAAACATAACAGTCAAAGAGCAGTCTTCACTTGAAATTTTATATATATATATACAATATTATTGATCATAGATTAAAACAAAAAGATTGTCCAACTTTCAAGATTGTTAGAGTGTCAGTAAACCTTTGGTATTAGTTTCTTTTTTTCTTCACCCTACTGCAGAAGATAACTAGTATTGGGGTGAGTGTAGACTTGAGTCTCCTTCGATATGAATTTTTCCAATATTAGTGTATCACCTCCATATCGGCTATCATAGAGACTAACCTTGAATTTTATATTCTTTTAGAAATGGCAACTTCGATAAGTCTTAATTCAATTCTTGAAAAATTTTAAAAAGAAGCAGAATGTCCCATTTGCTCTGGAACATTTAAATATTCGCGACTTCTTCCCTTTTCTCATAAATTTTGTTATAAATGTATCAAGCAACTCTCTATTGCAAGTAATGAAATCAAATGTCCGTTCAGAGATGGTAAAGCAATACCTACAAAATATATTGATAACCCACCTTTAAATTCAGCAATTCAAAATACGATTGATTGTTTAAAAACAAGTACTCCATCAGTAGTTACAGTGGCCGTTCCCAGTGCAAGTTTACATCCTTTACAACGAACATTGATGCAAGAAACAAAAGAAGTTTTGAATTTATCAGTATTACAAGGGGAGGAAATTTTTATAATACATCATTCGGCTATCAATTTCTATTAAGCTAACCAATGAGAATATCGTCTGTTGCAGTAAAAGTAGATGTAAATGGTTAAGAATTCCAATTGAAGTTTAAATAAAAAGTAAAGGCTGCATCTTTGTTTACTCGCCAGTAGAACATGGAATGTTTGCATTCAAATATATGAAAACACTTGATCCACGACTCTATCAATCAAATATGTTCAGTGCGAGCTACATATCTAGGAAAAATAGATACTACAAACTTTGATGACTTTGGGTATACTCAATGCGATCCGCGTTGCATAGAAATGAGAATTGGAATCAAACGCAAAAAAAATAAAATTCATAAATCGGATACGCGGGTGTGGCTATGGCTGTGGCTTATTTCAACTTCACTCCCTCCATCCCGTACAGCGAATTGAAGACAAACGCTCCGTTTGAATTTTTACATTCAATTTCTTTTCTCTTTTTAAATAACACGTAGACCACAAACCGATTACATGTCTAGAAACATACGCATAAACAGATATATGTGACGCGGGTCACCATCTATATAACGATGTAAAACCGCGTCTGATGAAATTATCTCTTCTTGGTTGATCCAGTTTTACTTTCGATTTTGCCAGCAAATCAATGGCTAATTGTGATTGACCACGTCGTTCACATTCTTGTGCAATATCAAAATATCGATGTAGTGTAGCGGAATGATTAAGAAGAAAAAAATTGAAACCTATTCGAGCGACATTCGTATAGCACTCTAAAGCCAAATTCCACATTTTTCTTGTTCGAAAACTTCGACTGAGACAATCATAAATAAGTAATTCAACATCAAGTGAATCATGCAACCCTTTAGTTGATTTGTACGTTTTTAATGCTTGATTTTGGTGTGCCCACGCTAAATCTAACTCCCCTATTTCACTGGTAACGAATGTGGCAGATAAGCGGTAATAATTGATATAATAGTCTATAGTATTTTTTCACCGAATCAAAATTTTTTTTGTGTATTTTTTCAGTAAATAGCCAACTTTAATAAACTGAGCATATATTGAGGTTGCATTATCGATACAATCGTATTCAGTCGTAAAATATCCACCACTACAGAGATCTTGTGCCTCCTTGCCACTGATCAGTTCGAGTTGTACAATTGAAACATTTTGAACATCGCCATATTTATGACATATGGTACCAAAAGTAAGTAGCGTCTCATTTTCATCCGGCACCGAACTTAAATGTTGAGTATTCTCAAAGACTTTTTTGTTTTTTTCTTTATGAATTTTCAGCTCAAATAGCACAAATTGTTTACTCTCATCGCTACCAGTTTGTCCTGCTCCCGCCAAAATATGAAGGGCCAAATCACGATCTGATGTGGTCGAAAAAAACTATTAGCATATACAAAATGATCGTAGCGCGCTTTCTTCAATATTTCGACTTTTCTTTTGATATTAATTGTTCTTGATAAAGTTTAACTCGCTTGCTATCCAGCTGTTTTTCATATTCTTGTTTAAGCTGATTATGTAAATTGACTATAAAAAAGTGTAGTAGTAGAATCGTTTCAATATTTTGATGACGAAGCGCTTTGTTCAGTACCCAATATAGAAATGTGTCTTTTGTATACCATAATATTGCGCAATCAGAACTATATGAATAGTGAAAACCACAACCACTCAGTCACATATCGATGAATTTCATTCGTTGTTTTTTCATCTGGAATTCGTTCGAAAATTGTCATAGGAAAATAGTTTGAATTTCTAACATCATCCAATAACTGTCGAAAAATATTCTTGCATATTTTGAATACACCTTTAATCTAGAATTTAAATAAAACTATTTTTAAGAATGAAACCCATTATCAATTACTTAGGTTTGTGTTGAAGATCACTGAAATGGTAAATAATTATCATATGGATTGAAAATGTAAATTGCTCGTACTTGATGTAGACCGTATATATCAGAGATTATATTTTCAGTTAATTCTACTGAAACTATGAGAAAAACGGTTTCATATTCAATTGTTTTAATATAATTTTTGCACAAATTTGGATTATCAAACAATCGAAAATAATCAATAATCGAACGTAATTGTACTCGATCAGAATTTCTGATGCAATCAAGACCTAACCGGATGACAGTGAACTGATAATCGGAATGGTTTTACTGCTACTCTTAACCTTATCAGAGATTGTGGCGACATTCGCCGGTATTAGAGAAGTTGTTGGTACAATGGATTGAAATTTTACTATAGCCCAACAAGATCACTCGGATACGGTGACCATAGACTGAAGGTTACTTGTTCACAATCTCGACCACGCAAATTTGAAATAAATCCTATTGATGTATCATTACTAATAACAGATAATGTTCCATGCGGACACCAACATTGTTTTTGATTACATTCATCATCGGACCATTGATAGCTGCCAGACCACTCATATTGTTGTCCAAATATTTCTGATGAATCAATGATAAACACAATTATGAAGAGCAAACATCTGTATTGTTGCATTATTTTACGTAGCACAATACTATTCAACAAAAGACAAAGTTTTCTCTACTCTATTTCACGTTAATGTTTCGTTAATCCAAAACAAAGAATCAATTCAGTATGCTGGAGCAAATATCAGCACTAACACATGGTAATAATCAGATAAAGACTTAAAAGCTTTTAACCGAAACAAACATTAAAAATTATACAGGTATAGTTCGTGAAAATAGTTTAACGATATCATATCTAAAAAACAGTTACTAGAGATTATTTCATCACTATGAATTGCGATGAAAACAAAAGAATAGCTGATCAATATTCTCCTGTTGATAACATTCGATTGAATGCATCGTTGCAAGGTGTCCACGAGATTTATTACGAAAGGTTTCGATCTCTACTGAAAGTGAAAGATGGGCTTCGTGATTGTTATGAGAACAGAAAAACTACGGTCGAAATTAAAGTAGAAAATGAAAGAAAGTGTTTTACTTATCGTCATTATTCGGTTTATGCTTTCGCTAATCTGCTATAAATGTCAGTAAATAAAGTTGGTATGCATTAAAATAAATCTTCTGTTTGAAAGAGAATTATATGAGATTATTGATAACTCATTATAGGGAAGAACAAAAAGAGCTAATCACACCAGAAAATTTACACATAAAGGAGAAATAACACAATTATTGCAATTTACATTCCATCTCCAACTGATGCACTCCTACTCTTTTGAGTAGTTTTATCTTTAGATATTCGGCGTTAACAAGTTTTTTCTTTTTTTTTCGAAGTTATAAAAAGCAACTGAATGCCCAATTATATTCGAATTCGAACTAGGTAGCTCATGATATCCTAAGTATTATGGACGGCATGATTAAGAAAAAACTTTTATGTTTGAGAAGTTTTATTATTTCAATGGATTGTAAGAGTATAAAGAAAAACTTTAAAGCCAGACTACAAATGTTAACTAGGGTCTACAGTGAAGGATTATTGTAAAGAATAAACAGGTGTCTATAAATCACGACAGAGTAACCGTCACAGACATGCCAGCGCTTGCTGAATCCGATTTTAACCAAAAACTCACAATATAGAGTTGACCAGCTGTAGCGGTAAATTGTTGACTGATTTCATCGGCACATCCGGTACTTTCATCACACAAGGCATAGAATCCACTGAATGGTATGCAAAACGCGTCCACGCCACCTGCCAATCCGCCACAAGCTCCATTTGGTGTTGTTCTTACCCAAGGCGAAAGTGAACCAGTTTCAAAACCTGTGTTATTTAACATTTCAGTAGCTCCAGCATAAACTGTGACATCATCAAGATTCCAAATGGACGGATCATTGCGCAACTGAAAGGCAAGAGTAACTGGACCTGTCGTAGGTGATGTCCATGCATATGCAAAACATGAGTACTGCACATTGCCAGTCGTTGCATTATAAAGGATATTTGCAGAGCCAACCGACGTTGGTACACATGGAGGGGTTGGAGTCGTTGCTATTTATTTTGATGAATTAAATTTCAGAAAATGAAAAAACAGAACTAATATTTACTTGGCGATGTAGTGGTAGTAGTGGCTAGAACAATGAACACAAACTATTTGAACAAAAAAGAAGTACAATAGCCCAACAGCGTATTTAGAAAGAATAGATTCTTTTTTTCTTTATTTCACACTTTACTTACTTGAAGTTGTTGTTGTGGTATCGGTAGTTGTTGCTTGAAAATATGAAGTAATTTAAGAACTATGCTCATTCAATCACTGTTGAAAGAGAAAAACTCACCGTAGTTGATGTTGAACCTAATAGTACCGAGAATAAGAAGTAGTCATTAATAATAGGAAACATAAAAAATAAAATTTACTTGACGACGTACTAGTACTTGTTGTTGTCGCTGCATTATAAAAAAAAGAAGCAAAATATGAAGAGTGTTACGAATCAAAACAAAAATAAGTATTAAGAAGACACAGCATGCTTTTCTTATTATATTCTGTGTGCTCAATGAAACTAGTTGCATGTAGTTAATGTAGTACTTGTTGATGTTGTCGAACTTGTTGAAGTAGCTATACACGCAAATGCATATATAAAAATTTGCTAAATGCCGTTAAAAAACGCCAAAACTCACTGCTGGTAGCTGTTGTACTTGTCGTTGTAGTTACAGCTGAAAATATAACCGGTATGAAATACGAAGTCTAACTGTCTCTCGAAAAACAAACTTACTTGTGCTTGTAGTCAACATTGTCGTTGTATGTTTACTTGTGAAAATATAAGTTAACAGAGCAGTAAGACCCATAGGAAGTAATACAGCTCCAACGATCATTGCAAAACAACAACGCATCGGACATGGTAAACAAATTGCACCAATACGACGTCGCTGTTTCTTCTTCTTTTTTTCATCGTTTTCGAAAAAGCTTGATAAATTTTCAAATTCATTTCCAATGTTTATTTTTGTAGATCGAAAACTTTTTCGATTTTTGTTTTGTTTTTGATGTAGTTTGATTGATGGTATACTCGATAAAATTGATGACGTATCATGCTTTGTAAATGAAGCTAAGGATTCATTGAATGTCAATTTCTATATTAGTCAATAAAAGGGTGAAAAACAAAAATTAGGAATTAACAAGAATAATTACTGATCTAGCTGAACGATGTCTATGACTTCTTAATCGAATTATTCTTGGTTGAATCATAGGTTTTGTATGTTTCGATAAAATCTCACTCATTTCAAAACCGATGGTACCCAATGCAGTACTTTCCATTTCTTTTTTGCGTTGCTCATTAAACAATGTCTAAATTAATTAAATAAAACACGCTTTAAATTTTGATTTTCGCTGTTTTTATATATTTTTGGATACAGCTTCACTGGCTGAGTAAAATTATATTCAGATTTCTCATGAGAAATCTAAATATATTAGCTTGACAATGCCAACGAAAAATAAAATTTGCTCGATGTTTTCATTTGTTGCACGTTATTATTTTAAAGAAAATGCTTTTCGGACGATAAACTTCTGTTCAGTTGACATTATTTACCCGGTCATATTCGTTCTTTTTATTGTAATCATGCTGTGCTGAATAGGCGGTTTGATATCCGTTTAATGAATTTATATTGGCAGGTGCGATTTTCGCTGATGTCTTTATACATTAATGCATTAGCAAAATTACGATAAAATATTTGAAATATACTTCCAGTTCGCCTATGCGGAGTACCACTAAATGGATGCAAACGTTTTCGTTGAATTGGAACTACAACAACACCTTTTGTTTTTTTGCTTGACATTCTTTCCATTCGCTAATCTAGAGTTTATCGTCTACTACTGAGAAAAAGAACGACTTGCAACTATCTAATACACTTTACAAGTTTATTATTATATATTAGACCGTAAACATGTTAGAAAAGAAATGAACCGAATTATAATAAAGTTCGTATAGTTAGTAGTATGTTCACTTTTATTACAGTGGAAATCACAACAATGACAAAATCTTACAAAAATAATCAATTTATATAATTTTTTTCAATAATAGTTTCTCAGGCTTCTCGTATTTTCGTAAACAAACTATGGCACAAAAAACGAATCTATTCAATAAATATTTTTAGAAAATGCACTCTAATTATTATTAGTATCTGATATTAATTTTCTCGTTGAGCGTCTCATACGCACAATATGAAATCAAGATACTTGTTGAAGAATGATTTGCGGTTAAAAAGGCAGTATATTATTCACTAGCTATTGGAGAAATTCATCATTATTGTTGTACATGCCAAACTAAACTACAATTTAAAACTCAATATTAATCTCTTGTTAATAAGACCGCGGTCTTTTCCTCATAATGTCTGCATACGCCTCGAGAATCACATGTCGAAGTATGCACAAGCAGTTTCTAATTAAGTTTATTTTTTGAAATTTCGAGTTTGATTTTTTTGCCAGGGTGTGAATGTGAGATATTTATTTCAACTACACCCACAACTTCCAGATGATCTTGACACTGAAAATATTTTATTTTCATAAACAAAGATCAAGCCAAGTAGATCTTTTTATTTCATTCATCAATCTTCGACGATTGACTCGAGTGCGTTCATTAACTCTTATTGATGTTGATGAATATGAATTAAACATGATTTTAGAACATTTTCATTTAATGAACGAAAATATGATGATAGGAGAAAAAAAAAGTAGTAAATCATCTTTCATCAATGATGGAACAATCTTTGTGGTGTCACAATTGTAGACTCGCATATTTAACTATAGATGAAGGGATTACTTGTGAGGGTGTGGGTATGGGTATATGAGTCAAAAGAAACTCACGCCCACACCTTTCTAACCCAACGTTAAATTATGTAAATTACATACACTTGATGAATCGGAATCAAAATCTTTAATATCATTATCATATGTTTTCATGTCAACAGTCTCAACTATTGGAACTGTACGTTGCTGTTTAGATGGTCGTGGGTGTGAATCATTAAAACCGTTGGTATCTTCATTGCGAAGGTCATTCACTTTTTTTTCAATATCGAGATGTTCATTATCGGTCACACTGAAGTTATATTGATCAAATAAATGCTCCGGCGCAATCTTGTTTGGAAGGTTATTCTCAATTTTTTGAGAATCTTTTCGTTCAGTTGTCGCCTGTTGACACGCAAATGACTGTCCGGAAACAGATACTGGCTGTTGTATATCACAATGACGCCGTTTAGATACTCGAGGTGTGTCCTCCGTGAAGAATCTCCATTTGCGAACCTTGTAATTGCGAGTAAGAATGTAATTGTCTTCTGGTTGCTTTTCCCATTGTTCATAACAATCACTTAACCATTCAGGTGTGACAACTTTAATATTGTTTTGTTGAGCTTGGTAAACTTTTAGTGTTATTTTTCCAGCAATGACATGCGTCGTTTCAATGATCCCATCGTGGTCGAATTGAAGATCTTGAGTCACATTTGCTCCCATCGCTTGAGCCATAATTGTTGCATTGTGTTTTTCCATCGGATGGTTTTGTTGTATTATATGCGAGAAACACAATGAAACGGAGCTGAGTATTTGTCGACGAATATCAGGTATAATTTGTTTCAAATCAGGCATTGTTCCATGTTTCCCGTCAATCCACTGGTCATAGGCCATATAGAATGTCGTATGAATGCGCTTTAGAATTATTTCTAATCGGCGTAAATAGACATCGGTATCCGCCACTACATTATAGTTGCTGCCAGTTTGAGTCTGCCCGCTATTGTGTTCTTTCGGTTTTTTACTTGTTTCATCACTGTATTGATGTGTTTTTTCACTGGTACCAGTTGCTGATGAAGGGTGAATTTCGTTAATGTCACTGATGCCTTTGAACCACATATACGGTTTGACATAAACTAGATTTCGAGTAGATTTCCAAATATCTTCACGACCATCTATAATACACACCAAAGAATCATCAAAAGGAAAGAGATTATTTAAATTAATTGTTTCGTCTGTTAGTTTGAGGCATTCATCGCGTGATATAATTCGATCTGAAAAAAATCTTCTATTCGGATCGATAAGTTTGGCTATATTATGCGCGTACGCTTGATCGCCGAAAGTAATTATATGAAATTGATAAAATGGTCGAAGATTAGTGAGAAATTCTTTGATACCCGGACGTAATTTTGTATAAAATATTTTTGATATTGGAGTCGGTTGATAGGCAACGATATCAGATGAAGATGGATAGTAATTTCTGGAATTCGTTGTATCAATGAGTGTTTGATCAAGATTAATCAGCAGATGAAGTTGACGTTTACAAAGAAGATTTGCGTCCAGAAATGATGGTTCTATCGATATCAGAGTCTTTACAGCGGTTGATACTGATAAGGCATTCTTAAATTGACTTAAATCAATGCCACAATCACCACATAGATTTTTAAATGTGATCGCGTGTCGGCATTCTTCATATTCAAGAATAATTGAGCCATAGCTAAGAATATCAAATTCATGAACACACAATTTAGTGACTGTACCCGATACGGGCGATAGAAAAGGTTGTCGTTGCCCGTTCGTATCGACCATAATAAAAATTGAATCATTTTCCATCAATCGCATATCTGTACCGACCATTATTTTACATACTTGTACGGAATTATTGAAATTGAATTTTAATTCTTTCACGTTGCTATCAACGCTATGACTCATGATAAAAAAGAAGTTTCGTTACTCTCTTGACAGCATGTGACAAAAAAACATACTCAATATTTATGCAGTGTGCTCGACGTTTCCGTTCTTACACATATGATTTTTCTTTTCCCGGGCACTTAAAAACGGAATGTGTCAGAACGAACGCGTATCGTGCGTTACACTACCGCAGCAAACCATTTTATCACAAATTTATCAAACGGTAATTGCTCAACACTAATGAAACACATGTCGCGACGATGAAACAGAGTGGATTGACAACCAAACCGATCCACCAGAGCAACATTTTTTAACTGATTTCGAAATAAAGCGCGCCTGTCGTTCTTCACTAATTAAGTAATTGAAACGCGGCATTTCTAGAAAAAAAACAACGTAAAAAATACTATCAGATTGAACAAAAATTTCTGAAAATATTTGAAAGGCAAATTTTTATTTTAATGGACATTACAATCAAATTCTAATATTATCAATTTTACTTAGGCTTGTGCGGATGAGTAGCTACCTACAGGAATTCAGTTTTTTTTAATTTGTTGTATTTATTCAAATCTCGGGACTCAATTTGTATAGTTGTGTCAATATTGATGGTACGCCGGATGATTCTCCTTTTTCCTCACTGTAAAAAAAACTGTTTTTCTACGGAACCAAAAGAGGTTCAGTATGGAACTTCTTCGTAAATGAAAAAAATGGTTTCGTACACATGGTTCAGTACGAAACCTTTACCAGGAAAAGTCACAAAGGTTGCGTAACACAGGTTCGGCACGAAACCTCTGTAAAATTATGCTCAAAAGGTTTCCTACACATGTTTTCGTATAAAACCTTCCAGATCATATTCATCTGATGAGGGAGTCCTTGGAAGTGATAGATGGTTTCCGAGTTAAACTGCCGTACATATGGTTTATTTTAGTGAAATAGGGAAAACCCCTGAAGGATGCCTTTCGTTAGTTTTTCCTTCGAAGGTTATATTATGTTACCAGAATTTCAGTTAAATGCTAAGGAGGAAACCTTTGTAGCTGCCGAATTGTTTTTTTGTTTGATCCCAGTTTGTCATATAGGTGTTAGTAAAATATAAATAACTTCAAATGAATGATGGCTCATAAGTCTTCTTTAGAAATTTACCAACATTTTCTTGAATTTTAACCTAATGTCGCAGACATCAGTGAATTGGATGAGACTATTTCCATTTGAGATTTCATGAAGAAAACAATTGATTTATGTGGAAAATGTCCCAAAGATTTTATTTCAAAAGAATGCATATTTCCTATGGATATTAAAATTCATGCAAAATACCACATTTCATCATCCTTTTTGAGGCACTGGTGGCATTGTTGAACTTTGGAAACTCTGGAAAAGAGGTTTGCTGTTGAAATAAACCCTTTGAGGCGTTCATCTTATAAGCCAATTGCTCTCTTCATGAAATCTCAAATAGAAATAGTCTCATTAAATTCACTGATATCTCCGGCACTATAGGTTAAAATTCAAGAAAATGTCTGCAAGTTTCTAAAGAAGACTTATGAGCATCGTTCATTTGGAGCTGTTTTATATTTCACTATGATCTATCTGGCAAACTGGGCTCAAATTCAACAGCTACAAAGGTTTCCTCCTTAGCATTTCACTGAAATTCTGATAACATATCGATAACTTTCGAAGGAAGAACTAACGAAAAGCATCCTCCTGGGGCTTACCTTCTCTCACTGAGACCGATCATATGTATGACAGCTCAACTCGAAAACCATGTATCACTTCTGAGGGCTCCCTCTAGAAACGAAAGAAAACATATTGTTTACATCAAATCTGTGAATAAGTCTTCCTAAAAAAAAGCACCGACTAAAACCATAAACTTACTTCCATATCAAGATTGTAAAGTCATCCGCAGCAAATAAATAACCAGTTATTTTGGCCAATAAACTAGCATGACAATTAGCATCTCACTCAAGTATGAAACAGGGAAAGAATCATTTGTTAAACAAAATAAACTTGCTTCTAAATCGAAAACCGGCATCGATCTAGAATGGAAAGAAGACAATATATTTAAAGAAGAAAACTTACATTTAAGCATCCATTGAATGTTTATTCGCGTCCGGCAAAAGATAAACATTAAACGAATAGAATAGTTGCTAAATCTGAACTGGAAATCATCTATAACAAAAATAAACTTTTCTATATGAAGAAATAAAGCTTACGTTGAAATAAGCAGTCACTGTCAACCTAAACAGAAATATAACCGTTATAATAAACGTAATATTCTACTACAGAAAGCTATCCGTACCAATAATCGCACAATACATGATCTAATTGATGCTTCTTCACATAATTATCTACAGCCTATAGCCAAAAGTCATCATTGGAATTAACGGTACCATAACCATTCATGGTCCTAATAGTTATTCATGGTCTAACCGTTTGTGGTTTTTATAGATAGGGATCATCTATTTAATCCGGCTCTTCAATAATATAGATAACTTACATAGTGCTAATCCATATAGATGTTGATTATATACGCTATGGTGGTCCTCAATAATATAGATGATAGTATTCGAGTGAAAAAGTCCTGTGAAGAAATAATTGTATGCGTTTTGCAAAAAATTTGGCATATAAAGGGTGAGTTGGATGAAGGTGAAATATGACAAAGAATTTTTTATCAAGGGTTAAAATACCTCCTCTTCTGTAATATAATAGACAGCTATCAAAGTTTAACACATAAAATCGGAAATATAAAAACGAGATATTCAAGTAAAACGACGAGGCGAGTCAACGATGATTGAGTCTTTAAAATCGCTTCACAAAACAAAAATTCACTTTGCTCCGAGTCCACTAGATTGTTTCGTGGATATCATTGATGAAAATGATGATTGACTCTGCTTACGTTTTTGTTTGAGATTGGAGTTAGATATTGTATTTTCATTCGTTGGATCAGGCTGTAGTTCATTTTCTTCCACTTACAAGAGAATTTTAAACGCATATAGTTCATTTTCGTTTTGTAGATTACGATCGCATCGGTAGATCTTTGAGTATTGATTGATAATTGGGTCTCATTTCGAAGAGCCATTGGTGACTTTAATTGAGAATCATTCAATGGAATAGAGGTAGTTGATAAATGATTGAAGATATTTTCATCAACGAAATCTGAAGGTTGATCATAATCATTTTGACAAGCTGGATTAAGACGATATTGAGCACCATTTCTTGAAATAGTTAATGCTGAATGTGATGAATCAACGAATAATCTAAATAAAGGAAAATAAAGAAATGAAGATTTTGATTTCAATGAATATATTCTTTTTGATACGAAATGTTTTTTCTTTTACCATTAAACGAACTATTTGATAACATGATTGAGTAGATGAATAGTTGGGGGGAAATTCCCCGAAAAATAAGAATCGAAAACAGCTGACTTACTAGTTGAAGAACAAGAATTAGACGCTGTAAATTCCCTCCTGTAATGGATAAATTGCGAATGGTAGTCCTATTTGATTAGTTATTTCGAGAAAGGTAAATTTAACAAACAGCAGCCACACTAATCGACAGCGGAAAGCGGCTCGCTATAGTGAGGTGAGAACTTCTTGTGTACTATTAAAAATGTGTAAAAACCTGTCACAAATTAAAAAGAGCATTCAAGATATGAACAGCCGAAACGCAGGTAACGCACGGACGTTTTTTCAACTTCGAACGATTGTATCTCGATAATAGTAAAAGGGAAAAGCTTGTAAATTTCAACACTTATTTAAGTCGACAACTTCTATAATACCTGAAAGTTTGAGCCTCAATCGTTAGGCTGTTTAGATTCTATAGGTGAAATACTGACCGGTAACACACAGACAAAAAGGTCCTTCGTTCTCAGTAGATGCGAGAGAAGTGATAAATGCTGCGAACTACGCTGTGTTAATGAATATTATGACAGAGCATTTTGTAGCTCAGAAGTAGAAGTATCTTTTGGTGAAGAGAAAATATAATTAATTTGAAAAAATGAGCGAGCTATTGACAAA